CTTGTGTTTGGAGAGATGTACCTCTCAAGTCTCAAAAGTAGGCTTGAAAAGGAGATTCCTTAGAGGTTTTGAAGTTCTAAGTTTTAGACATTATCAAACTTTACATTAATTTACATTGCTTTGAGAGAATGCTACTTTGTAGTGTTCTTCACACTCGGTAGTATACTTTTTATAATTATTAATAGAAAGTGGACTTCCTAATTACTTCAATTTTTTGTTATTTAAAATTTTTTTTTATTGTCAATGATCTAAATAATAACTCAGTAACCATCTCTTTTCACTAAAAGTAAGAAATCTTGAATTCGAGTTGTATGACATGTAGGTGTGATGGGATAAGAGATGAGAGATTATTGTTTTTTATTATGTAATTAAGATAAAAAATTTATTGAATTTTATTTGATTTATTATAATTCATAATCACAATATTTTGTGCGGTATGACACTAAGAGCCTGTTTGGTTTAATTTATGAGAGTTTTTGCTTTTTGAGTACTATTATGAGTGATAAGTTTAAATTTTTATTGGAGAAAAAATTTAAAAATTACTTTTATATATAAGAAAAAGTGAGTGAAAATGTGTAAAAATAGAGTTTATGAACAGTTTGGATTTAAAAATTTTAAATTTTTACTGTTTATGATCTTTTTAAAATTAAAAAAAAAAAGTTTAAAAACATAAATTTTTTTTTAAAAAATATAAATTTATGAAATATGAATAATATAAAAAAATTGAAGCTCCTATAAGCTTCATCAAACAGCCTTAATAGTTGGATTAAGATAAGCCCTCTCAAAGTAAGGCTTCCCCAATTCGTTGTTCTAAAAAAAAAAAAAAAAAAAGGGGACTATTTATAATTTTTTATGGAATTGTTAGTTAAGATTGAAAAATGAAAAAATTTGTTTTAAAATTTTTTTTATCAAATTATAAAATAAAAATTACTAGATAAAAGATAATTTTTAATATTAAAAGTCTTATCCACGTCAAACTATTTATTTTATATGATTTGGTATAATATAAAATGCACAACAAACTTTTTAAGAAAAAGTAAGAAAAAGTTGCACTTGAATCTCATGACCCAACAATAATAGGTCTATTTATAAGGTGCATTCCTATCCCGAAGGTTGGGGTTTAATTACCTCCACCCCAAAATTGTAACCTTGATCAAGAAAAACAAAATTAAGAAAAAGTTGGGTGCTTTGTAAGAAGTAAGAACATCTGTCTTAATGACATAATAAATGAAACACGAGTAAAATTTACAGCATATGTAACCTATTTTTGTAATTAAGATTGGACGATTAATTTCAGCTGCCTTGATTTTTCATGTAATTGCAGCTAACACTATAATTCAGTATTAATGTTCTCATTGGAAGTAAAAAGTCCAACTCTATTAGCAGCAAGTTAAAAGATACAGTAAAAATTTTTTTTTTGAATAATTTTGAAATAATTTATATGTATATATATGGGGGGAGAGAAATGAGTTCCATGAGAATCGAACATGCCATCCACGAAGTTGAATAGCTTTAACCCAAAGTGTAATGTCACTTACCGGAATGAATCATTCGATACAATAAAATTATTTTTTTATTGTGTAACTTTAAATTTTTATTAAAAAAATAAGTACACTAGAGTTACTTTAAGAATTTTTTCAATTTATTACTAGATTGGGTTTTAATTGCTAATTATTACTATCAAATCACTAAAAAAAAACTTTTATCAAACATCAAATACACAATGGTTTGCAAGAAAAAAAATTACCAAACATTTTTATATAATAATTTAGACAATTATTAATACCCTAAAACTGTTGTACCAATCAACACCTAAGATTGAACCGAGCTTTGTGGTCCAATAGTTCAACCGTAAGCCTTAATTACTTGGGTGATATGGTTGGGGTTTCGAACTACACTACCATCGTGAACTCCACTAAAAAGTGACTTAATAGTTGCGCGCCTCATTTGAGGGGTGGAATGTTCACTCGATCTTAAGACCAATTGCTAGTAATTAACTCATTAACTTACTAACCATTATCTTTGTAAAAAATAAAATAAAATCAGCACCTAAGATTTTACTACATTTTAACCCGTTATAATTGATTGTAATGGTAGGAATAATTATATTGATTGTAATTGAAGCATCAAGTAGGCTCCAAAAATTATTGGATTTAAACTATCGATTTTTGGTTAAAATATTAAGTTGATCTTTCAACTTTCATATTTATACTAAATTCATCTTTAAACTTTAAAAAGTGTGAAAATTATCCTTGAAATTCAAGTATTAGTACTAATTTTGTCCTTCCATTGATGAAAGTGCCAAAAGCTTGTTAAAGTGCCAGAAAAACATTATTTTTAAAAAAATTAATGACATGAAAAACAAAACACATATCTTTTGATAAGGTGACATTTTTGTATTTACACACAAAGTGATGAGAGAAAAATAGAGAATATAAAATTATTTTGAGCAAATATGGGATTAAAGTGGGTTGATCTTGAGATTCTTGAGGGAATTCATTCGTTCCTTTGTAATAAACTTGCTTCCTGTTCTTGTTGGGTATGGACTTAATGGGAAGAATATGGATTTTGGAGTTATGTATCAAAAAGCATAATAAAATTTGTGTGTTTTATAAATACTATATAAATTTTAACATATGAGAAAGGATTAATGAGGCAAAAGACGATGAAAACTATGTAATAATGTAGAAAATACCAAGTACCAACTTATCAAAAGTTACATTTTCTTTTCTCCACTGCTATTTTAAAGACGAAGGTTGAAATAAGAGAACAAAATTTGCTATTTCTTTAATTTTAAAATATCAACTTTTCAAGTTTTTTATTTATGTCGTAAATTTTTATTTTTTTATTTAATAGTGCAAATTTTTTTTAATTTTATTTAAAAATATAAACTTTATCATATTTTAATTAAGATTATTATTTGTCATGTTATCATCATTATTTAATAAATTTATAAATAAAAA